TATATACTTTTAATTCACAAATCTAAAGAAAATAGTGCTAGTAGATAAACACAGTGGTTTACACAATTCACATATGACAGGGAAAAAGGATTTGTATGATAACATTGCTCTTTAAAAGAAAAAAAAAGAAAGAGCAAATTTTGATATAAATAATCAGAATGATAGCTAGTTTAACAAAATAGAAAAGCGAAGTTCAGAGATAAGTATTGAGAAAGCCAAAATGCAAAGCCATAAAAGGAATTTCTTCAGGATGCATAGTTTCTGATTAGTGTATGTGTGTCATAAGAATCTTAAAATAGTGTCTTTTTTGGTCGAACCTCTTAATATAGGGTACTGATCATATTTTGAATATTACTTTTGTGGTCAATAATTTGAATGGAAAAATACATACTTATTTAATTCAGAAAATTATTTGTTATATGTATAATGGTTTTGTTTGGATTGCAATAATGAAAATTTTGAAATGAAAAGATTCATTTAACAAAATTATTGATGCTTTAAGAACTATGTAAGTTAAAAATGGAGTATTTTAGTAAAAATAAACCTTGTATTATTTGGTTTAAATTATAAATAGAAACAGTAAATAAAAGGAAAATAATATTTCCAGCTGGCACAAAATTAAGATAGCTCAACTACCAGACATAGAATTCATACTGGGATTAGTAAAAATGTTTATCTTGGATGAAATCAACTTTCACTATTGGATTTTGTTCATGGACTTTCTAGTATCTATAGTGGTACCTTTAAATTCTCCACAGCAATCTTAATAAGCATCCTGGCTAAAAAGCAAAAACAACAACAAAAAAACTTGTCTACTGAATGATGGAATTCCCACAGCATAGTTTCCACATCCTAAAATTTGCTCTGCATGTCTCCCTGGTCTTTGTAGGTGTTAGATAAAGTGAAAGTACAAAATATATTTTAAAACTAACGTTTTATGTAGTAATATTCTTATCACTGATAACACAATTGTATTGCATATTGATCTTTTTTCCGAGTCATTTTCTTTGCGAAGTTGACTAGAGCTGATATTGACAAAATTTAGACTTCTGCTTTCCAGGAATATATGACTTCAGCTGTGTTAAAATTTCATGAAATGTGTACCCAAGATGTATAAATGATTTTAACCCTACATAAGTAAAATGTCTAACCCAAGAATCAAGAAAAAGTTAATTTTCATTTATCTGTACAAAGAAGTAGGTTTGTTAAGGGCATTAAAGTCACTGAGTTATTAACTCTTCAATATTTATATAATTTCTTATGCTTTCCAAATTTCTCTTTTGTTTCAATTATAATAAATGTGTGGTACATCTCTAATAGTCAATAAAATAAAAAGCCCTTTAAAATGTAATAATAAACAGAAATGAACCGATATGGTCAGTTTTAATATAAGTCATATGCTAAAAGTTTGAGTCTATCTTATATGCTTGGCATTGTAAAATGAGATTTACTGATTTCTTTAATAAAAAAAGGAAAAATGAAACAAAGATCAAGGTGAATAGAATACAGTTAATTCTTCACTTGCTATCAGGGCTTATTATTAATAGTACAAAACTTCTTATTGCTCCATTTACTGCAGATCAGCATTTACTAGTCTCGTTTGTTAGAGGAAGATATGCACAGAGCAATATCATATGTAAAATTATAAAAGAAACCAGATAAAGAAAGTCAACGAGTTATATCCAATGCCAGGTCATATAAAATTCCCAAATCCTCTTCTAAAATTTCTAAATCCAAAGGTAAAGCATGGGCAGGGTTCTGTGAGAACTTGCCTAAATTACATCTAAGTTTAAATATTGAGGAGTTTTCTATAGCCAATCTTGTCTGATTATTAATCAGTAAACATTAAAATACACCAAAGTTCAGCCCTTACAAAAGGGCCTTTGTAAGGATCGACTAGAAAGGCGGTACCTTTATGCTTAATCCAAATCCTCCCACTGCTTGTCTTCTGATGGTCACCGTTCTTTCCTGAAAGACAGGATTTTAAAGAGTGGTTAGTGTTTCCTAATACTTTACTCACACACCGTTTTCTTCCTCTGCCTTCTGCTTTTGAACTTTAAAAGAAAGACAGGGAGAGAAAGAAATACTTTGTGATAGCATAAAGGCTCCAAATCTTGCAATAAAGGTAGTATTTTATAATTTTTTAACCAGAGGTCTATTTTTCAAAATGAAAGGATCTATATATAGTGTTATTACACTCAACTCTTAAAAACTAAATTCTTCGCAATGATTATTTGGGACATATTTTGGAATCTTAACTTTTAAACTTCCCATTTCACATTATGTATTCTTGCTGTCTAAGAAATGACAAGTTTTAGTTCACACGAAAGTAACTCAACGTCAATAGTAAATATTATCTCCGTCAGCCACGGCCCCCTCTCTGCCTCCGCAAGCGCGAGCCAACTGGGAGGCCGCGGCGGCCGGCACAGAAATGATTCGCGCGTGTCTCGGATGAAGCTAAATAAACCAGGTTCAAAATAAGTAATTGCTTGTTTGAAAACAGAATTCATTACAAACCTCAGTAATAATGACAATGGAATTATCAATTTTCACAATTAGCTCCCCTTTTCCTTCCACGATGGAAACAATAATTCAGTCACTGGCTGGCTCGTGAAACTTAAAAATCACAAAGATGATGGGATGTGCACAAAGAGCCACATTCGGACAAGCCTTGTAAATTCCAGTTTAAAAACTCAAGCGTTGCTCTGTTAGGAGGCAGTCGTCTCTGCTCAGCACATAGCGCGGGGCGCGCGCGCGGGGCACACTGGGAGGGGCGCGCAGGGCACACTGGGAGGCGCACGCCAGGAGCACGCGGAGGCGCACTCGGAACGCACGCGGTGCACATCTAAGAGCCACAGCTCGCGTTTGTAACCTGCTGCACGTGCAGACGTCTCCTCGAAGCCTCCCTGTGGAGAAACACTTTGAGCGCTGACTGTTCCACCCCTGCTTCTGAGGCGCATACTTGTTATCTGGTCTCTGTGTCTCCACAAATGCCCGGTTCGTTTGGCTGCATTATCTATTTCCAAACGTAAATACTTCCCTCTTTCCTGTAGATTAATTCTTTCCCTCACTCTTTTGTTCTACAGGGGAACACATACTATCATTTAAAAAAAACTAAGAAAAAATTTGAAAAATGTGTCCTTCGGTGGCTTTTGCTCAATATTTTAAGGTAATATAAAAACTCATCATTTTGGCAAGGTCGAAAACTGTTTTGGGCCGAAAATTTAGCTTTTATAAATACACAAAATAATGGTTCAAGAACAAGATGGCCATACCAGAATTTGAGGTGTATTAACTACTTTTTATTTATTTTGAATTTTAAAAAATAAGTCTTTGTGATAGAGAGGGGCGTATATTTATTTAAAAAATTAGTGTAAATGAATGGCATTCCATAATATTTTTTACATTTTGACAATGTGCTAAGTAATTTAATCAATTTTAAAAATACTTATTTTACTTTTAAAATCTGTCATCAAATTATGTTTTCAAATAAGCATTAAAGTTATGTTTATATAAATAAGTTTGTATGTGTATTAAAATTTATGCAAAGAAACTTGAAATATAAAACAAACTACTTATATTAAATAATACCGTAAACTCTTATGTTTTTATTTGTGAGCCTGCTGTTGCATTACCGCCACAGGTGAAACCACAAGTATGGGAAGATATAATTTTCTAGAATTTATATTGCAAAACCTATGCATATAAACATTCCTGCATGTACAAAAGAAAAAGGAAGTCGAAAATGTGTATTATACATACATAAAATCTAATTTAAAATAAACAAATATTTATTAGAAATGTCCTTTTATTGAGAAGGACAGTGTAATCTTTTCAATTAATTAATAGTTCATGGTTTACTATTAAAAGAATTCATTAACAGGAAGTTGAACATTGCAAACAATATTGGAATTGAAGTCAGAAAATATATCAATGATTCAAATATCCTCAACTAAATATGTTGGCAAGTTACTTAAGCCCTGTGAGCCTCTGTTTCCAAATTTTCAAAATGCTGATAAGTAATATATAATAATAACTTTATTTTAAGGATTAATATTTGTGAGGGGCCTTGGTGTATAGTAGAAACTTAATATTAAAACACACACAAAATCTGTTATTCTAGACAGGAATTTTTAAGTAATAATCACTTAAATATATAAGTCATATTTATCTACCTCATATTCAAATACTTACACCATAGAATAACACAAATACAGAAAGACTCAGATTCAGGGATAGGTGAATTAGTGATCTCTATTCTTATAACAGTAGTAGGCAAACTAGTTTTATAAAACTGCCCATCCAACTAAACTAAAGTTCTTGGATGACAGAAACTACTTCCTTTAATCCTTTTCTGTAAGGAATAAATACTTGATTTCTTAAAATACTATCAAAACCAATGGTGCAGTCAGCAGAGATGATCCATAACATTTGTCTTAAAATACAGATTTCAAAGCAAATGCATTTTAATTAGCAAATGGAATCATCTAAATTTTCTAGAACATCCTGTGTGTTAATCATTAGTCATGAGGAAAACTCCGTCAGTAACTGTGGTTCAGTAGCTAAATGTGCTCTGAAATGCTGCTTTCCTTTGACGGAAATGGCGAGCACACCAGGGTCCTCAAGGGTCTTTACTGTGCATTTCTTTACACAGTTCTCTACAAGTCTGTTGCCTGATCCTTGGTGGAGAATATTTAGAACATGTTCCAAATCAAATTCAAAACTGCTGATGCAGAAAGGAGTTTGAAGAGACTCGAGAGTCAGCAGAATCTACCAAAAATCTCAGAAACAGCACTTATTTTAATGTTTTTTAAACATCGGGGCACATGCACATGCCCACCCCAACCAGCACCTCCGTATACTGTTGCTTCATTAGCTTACTTTTAAGAAAGGAGAAATGAGCACAACAAATTATTTCATGTTATATAACCAAAATTTTAAATTGGTGATTGCAAGCCGCAGGGAGCATAAAGGGGCAAACAGTTATTCTCAGTCTGGCACCTTGCTGACGTTCTTCCAGTTGTTTATGTTTGCGATAGCTCTATCACTCTATCCCCTTCCGCCCCCAAAAAGATGGAAAAAGCAAATAGGTAAACTGTTTCAAATCAGACAGTACCTGAAAGCTCATCTAAAATTGTGTTCAGTTAACACATCATGAGTGTTGTAAAGACTGTTGTCTGGTAACAAAGCACTGTCCTTTGGGAGACCAATATATTGCCAGTTATTTTATTTTTTAAAACACAAATCCAGACTGGTGCTCCTATAAACTCACATATGTAAAATGTTTTTCTTTAATCTTCCAATTCTTTACAAAATGCAAAGGATTGAGTCAAAGAATAATATCAGACTTTATGAAGACCTTGCACACCTAAATAATGAGCATCAATGTTATGAAAAAGGATTGTTTTAAATACTATTCTTTTTAGAAAAATATTATATAATTATTATAACATCTGGAATATAAACTATGTGGGAACAAAATAAACATGTTACCCAAAAAATGTTGGCATGATATAACCCAGATGTAGAAATTCTTGAGATACATATGTGAAAGTGTTAGGAAGAAATGGAAACAATGCAGAAACTAGAGAAATTATCAACTGGAAAATTGCACTGATTTTGTGTGATAGAAACAAATTATTTGGAAAAAGATGTATGAAATATCTTTAGCTCTTTTTGACAATCGAGGAAGAGAGACTACATTTGAAAAATAACTAATAACAAAGATGATAGTTTTTAATTATTAAAAATCTATGTGCACTTATAAGTCTCAAAGCACCTATGATCATTTATTGAAAGAGACTGTGTCCTTGACTTTTTCTTCCACTACAAGTTTCTGAAAGCTGATCTTGTGCCTTGCTCACAGTTCTATCCCAAGTGTTTATCATAGGGCCTAAATCAAAGTTAGGTATTAAGGTGTTAAATGAATAAAGAGCTGTTTAAACATTTTTCCAGATATCACAACAGCTCACTGGCATAGGAAATATTCTTTTCTAATTTAGAGATGAAAAACTGAAATGTAAAGGTGTTAGGTTAACTTGACTAAGGTCCAAATTATGAGTGAAACCAAGGTTTCTGTTTCCTGCTATCCTTTCTATTTCAACAGGCCTGAGATGAGATGGAGAATTAGGGTAAAAAAAAAAAAAAAACCCAAAACAAACAAATCCTCAAAAAAAAAAAAATAAAAATACCCACAAACTTAAGGTGCAAGTTAGTAAACAGGGAGAGAATTGTGAGAAACTTAAAGTTTCATCTCTGGGATCAGGAACTAGGCAAAGACATCCCTGCTTACCACTATTCTTCGTTGCCCTACTTGAAGTCCTAGTTAGTGCAGTAAGACAAGAATATGAAATAAAAGGATTACAGATTGGAGAGAAAGAAATAAAACTTGTTTTGTTCTATTTCTATGTAGAAAATCCCAAAGAATCAACAAAAATCTCCTACACTAATAAGTAATTACAACAAGGTCACAGAATACAAGGTTAATATACAAAAGTCAATTGCTTTCCTATACGTCATCAATGATAAATTGGAATTGGAAATTAAAAGGACAATACCACTTACAATAGCACACACTGGAAGGAAAATATATTGTTATAATTCTAATGAAATGACTACAGGATTTATATATGAAAACTAAAAAACCTGGAGAAAAACATCAAAGATGATCAAAATATGTGAAGAGATATTCCATATTCATGGATTGGAAGACTCAATATTTTTATATGTAAATTCTTTCCAACTTGATTCATGGAATTGATGAAATCCAAACAAAAATCCCAGCAAGCTATTTGTGTATATCAACAAACTAATTCTAAGATTTAAATGGAAATCCAAAAGACCTATAATATCCAACATAATATTGAAGAATGTGAACAAAGTTAGAGGACTCAGGATGCTTAACTCAGGACTTAATTATAAAGTTACAGTAATCAAGAAAGCATGATATTTTTTAAAGGATAAGCAAA